AAACCGATTGAAACTTTCAGGCTTTTTGACAATGCCAACAATAACACATGCATGCAGGAAATGCTAGAGGCTAAAATAATTAGGCACTGGTTTTTACATGGCATTGTTTATCATTCCAAGTTCAGAGTCGCAAAAGTGTGTGTCTTAAAACATTTCAGTTATTACAGAACAATATAATAATTTGCAGAACGATTACTGATAAAACTCTACCAAGTGAGTCATTGGACTTTTATCATGCAAAAACTTACTCACATGATAGGATTTCACAACAAACAGAGCTGCAATCCTATGAGATAAAGTGGTATTAAAATCAATTAAACTTTCTTCTCAGAAAACATGCATCAGATAAGTGTCAAAGCTGCTATCGGAAAAGCATTTGCTCCTCAGAAAACTGACTCGAAAGGGACATCAAGCCCACAATGTTAGATATACTTATTAAGATGTGGTGTGTATGTTTCTTGAATCGTGGGAAGGAAGGAGGCAGACAGGCTTGGAGGAGGAAATAAAACATACAGAAAGAGAGCAGAGAAAGAAATTAATCTCCCTCGTCCAAGAAGCAACAAACAGACCACTCAGAAAAGAGGAGAGGCAAGAGAAACCAAAAAGACACATGGGAGCAGGTGAGGGAAGGGAAATGAAACGGAAGGTGCCTCCAGACTGTCAGTATTTTGTGGGAGGGAGTCTACGCATATTGGAAATTAATGTTTGTGCAATTAAAATGGATTTAAGTGCTCTGCTGCTCTAGTGCTAGTAGAAAAAAAATTAAAAAGAACATTGCCTTTTTGTGGTTTGGAAAGTGATGAGGAAATGCACTGAAAAGTGTGGGACGAATGAATGATTAATAGGAAAACGCCCACAAGCAATTCAGGATGAATGCTCATTATGATATAACCTCCCAGCATGCTTTGTGTAAGCAAATCAGAATGAGTGCTGAACACACTGGACACGCCCATAGAACTCTGCTTTCTTCTTGGTGTCAATCTCAATCTGGGGGAAAAGAGAGAAGAAACTGGAATCAGTGATACTCCTCCTACTTCCTTTCAAAGCTTTCTGTAGTTTTCCAATGAGAGATTGCTCCTTTCTCAATTCCAAGGAATACAGGAAAAAAGTAAACTCCTGGAGAGGGGCAGGAGTGCAAAAGTTTCACAGGCACTGGAGGAGGCTTTCAGGGGCACCATTGCATTTGCCACACTGGGGACACCAGGCCTAATATAATGGATGCTGTCAGGTGAGAGTTTATGGTGGAAGGAATCTGGCATTTCAACAGAGCTGGTACTTTTGGTAGCCCTGTATCACAGATCTTTGCCAGGATCTGTGTTGTCAACACATTTTATGAAGCACCAGTTAAAAATGTAATTATCACTACCTTCTTTTATTTCATTTCCTACTGACCTCACTGTTTAAAATTCTCCATACACATCTCCTCAACAATGTATATTCTCCTGTGATTTAGGTAACACTTTTATGAATCAAATTAAGTATATCAGAGATAGCCAATATGCTGCTATCCCATCATAACTTGTGGCACAGACCTTTCTACCTAGTATTCTCCCAAGAGAAAAAGGCTTCACACAACTCACTCTTCTTCCAATTACTACATACAATCCTCCATATGTGGAGCAAGAATTAGTTTTAAAATAAAACTGAAGGGAGACTGGGTTAGTTGATCTCTTGCTGCAAATGCTTTGAAATAATTATGTGGTAAGCCACGCCCTGGGGGGAACCAAGTGTTTTTTGTTCCTTGTTTGTTGGAACAGAACTCTGGTTCTATACTGTTGTTTGGGGCCATGCAGACTGGAGAAAGCAGTCAATGAAAAAGTTAAAAGCTCATATTCTGTGAATAGAGGTTAATTATTTCATAGTTATTTCAAATAACACATATTTTGGAAACTCAAAGCTGCCTCTTTTCAATCCTAGTACAGTAATGCTATCTTAGTGGCAGAAAGTAAACCAGCATTCAGATTACACCAGTGTCCAAACATTTTTCAAAGAGGGCCAGATTTGATGAAGTGAAGGGCCATGAGGGCCGGCCAAAGGGCCAACCTTTTTTTTAGGACTGAAGTTGTTGAACATAGAGTATTTTTCCAGATTAAAAGGGAACCGTTAAACAGATTTTTAAACATTTGCCATGTCAAACCAGTTCACTAAAATCTGAAGTGAACATTTTATAGGACTATGGCAGGACCCATCTAAAGTTTATGGCAGGGGTGGCCAACTCCCAAGAGACTACGATCTACTCACAGTTAAAAACTTGCAGTGATCTACCCCCTTTTGGGGGGTTCAGGTCAAAGTTGTTGAGCTTTTTCAGGGAGGAGGTAAAATATTGAGCTTTTTTTTTTTTTTAGGGGAGCCACAGTTGTTCAGCTTCTTTGGGGGGAGCCAATGATCTACCAGTGATCTACCGCAGACGTCCAGTGATCTACCAGTAGATCACGATCTACCTGTTGGACATGCCTGGTTTATGGGAATGTGCTTTGACATTACTGATTAATTGCTAGGCTTCCTCTTGTGCCCCCCCCCCCCCCGTTAATCCTGCCTTTTTGCGCTGGAAAACAAACTTGCTAAATGCACCCCACCACATGCTCCTGTGCTTTTTAGAGGCCTAATTACAATAGTATCTTCGGTTTTATGCATTTGTCCATTTTTAACCTTGTAAATTACCCTGGAATCAATGCTCATGAACATCAACATTATTAATAATAATATAATAATAATAATTTTTTATTTATACCCCGCCCTCCCCAGCCAAGGCCGGGCTCAGAGCGGCTTACAAGCAATAATAAAAACAAGTTGAATGATTACAGCTTAAAAACAAAATTAAAATACAACATTAAAATATTACAACATTAAAATAAAATGTAGCCTCAACGCAGGAGGAGAAGGAAAGAAAAAAAGAGAGGGAAGGAATCAAATTGGCTCCAAGCCAAAGGCCAGGCGGAACAACTCTGTCTTACAGGCCCTGCGGAAAGAAATCAGATCCTGCAGGGCCCTGGTCTCATGAGGCAGAGCGTTCCACCAGGCCGGAGCCAGAGTTGAAAAGGCCCTGGCTCTGGTTGAAGCCAACCTAATTTCCTTAGGGCCCGGGACCACTAGGGTGTTGCTATTTATGGACCTTGAGGCTCTCCGTGGGGCATACCAGGAGAGGCGGTCTTGTAGGTACGAGGGTCCTAGGCCATGAAGGGCTTTAAAGGTCAAAAGCAGCACCTTAAATCTGACCCTGTACTCTACCGGGAGCCAGTGCAGTTTGAAAAGCACTGGGTGAATATGCTCCCATGGCAGAGACCCCGTGAGGAGCCTCGCTGCAGCATTCTGCACCTGCTGGAGTTTCTGGGACAGCTTCAAGGGCAGCCCGCGTAGAGCGAATTACAGTAGTCAAGCCTGGAGATGACCATCGCATGGATCACTGTGGCCAGGTCGGGGCGGGAAAGGTAAGGGACCAACTGCTTGATGCGGCGAAGGTGGAAAAATGTCGCCTTGGCTGTTGCTGTAGCTTGCACCTCCATGGAAAGGGAGGCGTCAAGGATTACACCCAAACTCTTAACGAAAGGCAATGGCACTAATTGGGCCCCCGCAAGAGAAGGGAGTTGGTCCCTCATCCCCATGCCATCCCGACCCAGCCATAGGACCTCTGTCTTTGAAGGATTTAGTTTCGGCTCCCACGAAACCATCTAGCCACAGCTTCCAAGCATCTGGTCAGTGTGTTCGGGGCCGAGTCGGTGTGGCCATCCATCAGCAGATAGAGCTGAGTGTAATCAGCATACTGGTGACAGCCCAGCCCAAAGCTCCGGATAATCTGGGATAATGCACACTTCTTCAGATACCATGAACGTGCATGCACATGAAAGCTCATACCAATAGCAAACTTAGTTGGTCTCTAAGGTGCTACTGGAAGGAATTTTTTTATTTTGTTTCGTCTACGGCAGACCAGCACGGCTACCTACCTATATCTAAAAGATCAACATAGTTCTAATTGAAATAAATTTTAAAATTCAATAGCTACACAGCCTTCTCAACTACTGCATCTCCTATGGGGAGGGCTGCATCCCCTGTGGAAGTATTTCACCTTTGTACTGTCTTTAATGGCCCCAAAGCCCTGCCCAACCCTCATACTTTTAAGCCTTTTGTAGTCTGCCTTTGGGACGCGGGTGGCGCTGTGGGTTAAACCACAGAGCCTAGGACTTGCTGATCAGAAGGTCAGCGGTTCGAATCCCTGCAACGGGGTGAGCTCCCATTGCTCGGTCCCTGCTCCTGCCAACCTAGCAGTTCGAAAGCACGTCAAAGTGCAAGTAGGTAAATAGGTACCGCTCCAGCGGGAAGGTAAATGGCGTTTCCGTGCGCTGCTCTGGTTTGCCAGAAGCGGCTTAGTCATGCTGGCCACATGACCCGGAAGCTGTATGCCAGCTCCCTCAGCCAATAAAGCGAGATGAGCGCTGCAACCCCAGAGTCGGCCACGACTGGACCTAATGGTCAGGGGTCCCTTTACCTTTACCTAGTCTGCCTTTACATAAGGGGCAGGGCCAGCCCCTCCATGAGGCAAGGTGAGGCAACTGCCTCGGGCAGCAGAATCCACAGGGGCGGCAGATCCAGACGTAAGTCTTTAGTCCCCCTCCTTGTTGCCTGATGTAGATCTTCAGGCACCCCTTCATCCCTGGTGGGGAGGGGGAGGCCGCCATTTTGTGGCTCGCCTCAGTTGCCTCAATGTATTGGGCCACTCCTTTGCATTGGGTTAGAGAACACGATTAACGGCGCTTCGAACCACGGCAAGGAAATGAAGCGCGCCCACCTCTGCTCGCTATCGTCTTTCACGTTTCTTCCCCGCACGTGGGGGGAAGCGTCCCTCGAGCTGCGACGAGGAACCGGAAGCCTCGTTGAAGAAACACCGAGCAGGCTACTGCTATTGCAAGCCCTAGGGCGCTTCTCCATTACCGCCCCGCCCCAGAAACTGGAGAGGCGGCGCTCTTTACCCAAACCTATGATGGCGGCGGAGGCGACTTCTGCCCACAGTTCCGGAGGCCGGAGCTGGGCGGGGCGACGGCGACGGGAGTGGGACCTCCCCACAGAGAAGGAGAGGCGGCAGCGCCTCTCCCGCAGCCGGCCCGGGATAGCTCGAGCGACGCGGTTGAGGCTATGAGCCGCGGCGGCGGAGGTGGTGGTGCCGCGCCGGCGAAGCCCCCGAGGGCGCAGGCCTTCCGCCTGCCCGGCCGTCACGGCTACGCGGTCGAGTTCTCGCCTTACCTGCCCGGGCGCTTGGCCTGTGCTGCCTCGCAGTACTACGGGATTGCAGGTGAAGCGGCAAGCAGAGTGCGCATGCGTGGAGAGGGGGCAAAGCCGTGTTGTGTTTTCCAGGCTGCCCGGTTCTTCCTGCCCATCGACGTTGGTTGAAGGATGTGGTTATCTAAAAAGAAATCGAACGGCATCCCGTTTGCATGATTACCTTCCAAGCAAGCGTGATCCCAGCCTTGTTGACTTGACAGCAAAGCCCCACGGATTTCGGTGGGGCTCGCTAGTTGCTGCCGCCTAGGCTTGAGAGCTGCAGCCTTTAGATGAGTATGCGCTCAGTGGGGCTTGCTTTGGAGTAAGCACGCTTGTGGTCGGGCTCGTGCTTCGACGTTGAAAGGTTCCCACAGTGCATAGTAGAAAAAGGCAGTGCTTTTTTTCTTTAAAAATGTTTAGGGGTACTCTCATTTGGACTCAAGAAAAATCACCATTTTATAATTGAAATCGGGGGAAATTAATACAGTAAATGGACAAAAGTGCGAAGATTCGCAAATGTTTAGGGGTATGCATAGCCCCAGAAAAAAAGCACTGGAAAAAAGTGTGCATCGAAGGCATCCGAACGGAAGAAGCGTGCTGTAGGATTTCTTGTAAGATTCTGAGCTGGAGGAAAGAGTGTTAAAATAGCACTTCCATTATGTGCAGTAAGAAAAATGTTTACTAAAACACACATAACTAATCCCAGTTGTTTCCATGGTTGTCTGCTGATGATCTGCCATAGGATGTGCTTTTTTGAGGTACTTGTGGCTGATACTTAGATATAAAGACCAACCTTAACAGTGTTTAAACATAAGGGCCTAAGAACAGTCCTGCTGGATCAGACCAAAAACCCAGTAGCCAATGATATGCCCATGGAAAACCCATAAGCAGAACACTCTCCACTTGTGCTCCCCAGCGACTGTTATTTACAGGCATATCACCTCTTATACGCACTAAAGGACAACTTCATATACTGTATATGCCACCGTAGTATCTTCTTTGTTTTAGAAAATGGTTGATTCCAAACTGTAACACTTGACTGTAACACTTTAGATAGGTTTGATTGTGTAAGTGAAAAAAACAACTTGAACACCGGGTATTTTATAGAATTGTTTTGCAATCCTGTGCATGCTTTCCTGAAAGCAACTCCTGTAAGTCAGTCTTCTTAAATCACCATTTGGTGGCATTGGACCTGACATTCAAGCTTGCTTAAGATGTCTAGTAATGTTCAGCTGAGGTTTTAAAATGCTTTGTATTTATCTCTAAGACTACTGTTGAGTGTCCTGTCACTTCTTACCAATCCCATACCAATGAAGAACATGGTTCTGATCTTGCACCAATAGCATTAATTTCATGGGATTTGTGCAAAAGAATGTCCTGGTGAATTATGTGCTTGCATGACTTAATATATATAAAACAGCAGAATTCTTCACAGTATGTTTACATAAAATATGTAAGGTTTGCTGTATTAAGTGGTGCTTATTTAACAGGTACAAATATACTGTAATTGACAACAATTAAGTGCATATTTATACAACTTAATGAAGTCAATGGAGTTAAACTCCCACAACTTTCTGTGGCTACTGTTTCTTTACTAAGGTAACAAGAGTAGTAGTTTACAAGCATTTTACTGTTGATTTCCCCACCCTTCTGCTTCAGTGTCTAACTTTGCATTTTCCCCATCACACATTTATAGCTGTTGATTCCTACCCACTATGGCACGGGTGTCAAACACAAGGCCCGCGGGCCGAATCCGGCCCGCCAGACCTCGTCATGTGGCCTGTGTAGCCGCTGCCAGCCGCCAGCCTTCACCTTTTATTCTCGCTTTTTTTTTTTGACACAAGAAAGCCACCTCTTCAGCGCATGCGCGGCAGCCTACAAGCCAGAGAACGTCTGCCCTCTAGCAGCGCCAGCCGTTCTGATGCGGCCCCCGATGAATTTGAGTTTGACACCCCTGCACTATGGCATTTGGACTCTGTTTTTTTGAGCTGCTGCCAGCCCAAGTGGTCAGTGCAGAGCTAGACAGCCTGGCATGGTATAGACAGCTATCATCCTAATAATTCAAGTACTTCACTCTAATCTAATTATCCTAAAGTATAGTCTAAAGATAGATAAGACCACTGTTTGCTACATTAAACCAGATTGAAGCTAGTCTATTCCTGATATTTCCAGGGAACCACAATTATGCCACATTGGGTTCTATGGTGGAATAATGACTATAAATTAAAGAAATAAAATAAAGAAAATAAATACTATATTCTACTATAAGGTATTTCCTTATTTTCAAAGAGTAATATTTTTCTTTTTCAGGTTGTGGAACTCTGGTAGTATTAGAACAAAATGAAGCTGGAATTCATCTCTTTAGAAGGTACTATTGTTCTATAACTTATTAATAAAAATATAATCATATAACCTTGATGTATTGGAATTGTCTCTAACCATCAAAATCGGAGCAGTCAAATAAAGAAAGTTGTGATCAACTTTTGGACTTCAATGTTATTTTAGAAGCTTCATTTTGCTTCTGAATCCAAGCCAAAACTTAGATTTAATGGAACAAAAATGGGATCCTTGGCTGCCTGGGATATATTTCCAAAATTAATTTCTGATTATTCTTGAGGGGATAATCTTTAACTACTTTAGCTAGGCTGTAGCGAGGAATCATTCATGTGCTCTGATCCTTCAAGGGCAAAATAGGTTAATTCACAGGTCCAAATATATAGAAGTGCACAAACTTTAGAGTGTCTTGGTGAGCCACGAGATAATGCCCTGTTCCCCTCACCACCTCTACACTTTAAACTTAGGGGAGAAGGGAGACTTTCTACTTCAGGGATGCTGAGAGGGTCTCCAGCGTAGTGCAGCTGAAGGAATATGCTACCCTTTCTCACTAGATTCAAGTACAGGAGGAAGTCTGAGGCTTGTCACACTTCACACTCACCAGAATGCAGTGAGAAACACAATGGCAAGCATGACAATTAGAATTATGGATTCTTGCAGATGTGTTTCTGCAAAATGATTTGCATTCAGAAGAGAATGTGATTCTTTAGTACACTGTGTGGATGGGGATACCTGTATACACCCATTTAGGTGCCAGTGAGTGCTTCCATCTGCAGTCTTGGTGCCTTGCCTAAGTTGTGTCCAGTACCTTGTATGTGACTACATCTCTTAACTGAGACTGTGGAATTTTAGCTACAATGCTCCTTGAATGCCGTTTAGAACGTAAACCCTTTAAGCTGAAAAGGGATTTAAAAACCAGTAACGGGTAAGTGGCTGAGGCCTACCATTTGGCAGACTGAGGCCTACCAGACCTCAACCCTTACATAAAGTTTTAGGGCCAGGGGAAGCAACTGAGGAGGTGGGCAACAGCACTCTTGAGATTCCTGACCAAGACGTCAGCTTATAGGTTTTACAGCCAGCGCAGGTAGTGCAGGGCACACACAAGTTGTGCTGCCCTTTATGGAGATGCAGAAGAGCAAAGCTTAAAGCAGTGGTGAGGAACTCTGCAATGTGTTGCACACCAAACCCATCATTCTAGTTTAAAACATAGGAGAGGCACCAAGCTATGGAAGGCTAACTTTGTGAATCAGGCAAGTTATTTATCAGTTTTTAAAAAAATTCTGCTCTCCTCCTAAGGAGTTCAAAGTAGCATTAGTGGTTCCCATCTTATCCTTACACAAGTTCTCTATGAGGTAAGTTAGGCTAAGACAGAATGTGTTTGGCTATAGAGTGCTCAGTGAAGCTTCATGACTCATCCAAGATCTTATTCCTGGTTGTTCCCCAGTCCAAAACTATCACTCTTTCTATGGAACTATACTGACTCCTGAGAAGTAAATTTTTTTTAAAAAAAAATCAGACTTAAATCTGCTATCTTTGCATATGAATTTATTTAAGTTATGTACTATTTCTCATGAACTAATGTGTTGGTTGCTATTTGTTTAGTTTTGACTGGAACGATGGCCTGTTTGATGTGACATGGAGTGAGAACAATGAGCATGTGCTTATCACATCCAGTGGAGATGGATCATTACAAATCTGGGACACAGAAAAGCCCACAGGTCCACTTCAAGTCTATAAAGAGCACAGTCAAGAGGTATAATAGATCTTGTTGTTGCATTTCTTTTCATTCACAAATAGGGACCTAAACACTTAGGCCTACTAAATACCTACTAAGTTGATAAGGTAAAGGTAAAGGTACCCCTGCCCGTACGGGCCAGTCTTGACAGACTCTGGGGTTGTGCGGCCATCTCACTTAAGAGGCCAGGGGCCAGCGCTGTCCGGAGACACTTCCGGGTCACGTGGCCAGCGTGACAAAGCTGCATCTGGCAAGCCAGCGCAGCACACGGAAACGCCGTTTACCTTCCCGCCAGTAAGCGGTCCCTATTTATCTACTTGCACCTGGGGGTGCTTTCGAACTGCTAGGTTGGCAGGCGCTGGGACCGAGCAACGGAAGCGCACCCCGCCGCGGGGATTCGAACCGCCGACCTTTCGATCGGCAAGCCCTAGGCGCTGAGGCTTTTACCCACAGCGCCACCCGCGTCCCACTAAGTTGATAAACCAATGGTAAGTGCAGTATTGACTTTACTCTTAGATTTCATTTTTCATCCTTTTTTGGGGTTGGAATTGGCTCTTTGAGCTGAATTCTCCTAATCTCTCTATTGGTTTCTTGCCATTGGTCTTGCTCCACTTTCTTGTGTTGTTTCTGAACAAAGGAACATCATCTTAAAATTTAAAGAATACAATTAAAAATGTTAACTTATTTTTGAACACAGGAAAATCATATTAAAATTTTTAAGAGAAGCACTGCAGATGAGTTATAATTCTTACTAAAAAATTGGAGAATTAAATTACATCCTCTAGAAATTGTAGTGATCTATCCTACAGTTATATTTTATTTATCTTTTTCAGAGTTGCCACACATAGTGAGTTGTCGGTTTTTTTAAAATAATATTTTATTTTTTACCAACCACCAAAACACAGTGAAACAGTGAACCCCCCCCCCAGGCAGCTGATACACTGGGTATACATATTGAGTTAAGCTGTTCATGTAAATGTGACCGTCTATTTAAGCAGAGCAGTGCATAGCATATAGCTTTTCTGATCCACTCGGGGGAAAACCACAATCATTTCATCATCCATAGCATTAATAGCAAACAAAAAAGTTTTCACATTCTATAAACTGAACTCAAAAGATTTTTTTCTGGGCTACAGAAATCATTAGCTTGTATTCTCCTATATCATATGAACTTCTGCCTTCTGAAATGAGTTATTACTCATTGGCTCTCATAAAGATGCCTAACCTCTATTTTTTTGCAGACATTGCAGCTATACGGGTTTCACAGAAGCGTGCTGACTCATAATGTTCTGCTAGCCTTCTAATATCTGAAAAATCCTTCAAGAATTATAGCTAATTTTGCTGTGGTTCATATCTGCTGAGAATTGTATTGATCATATAATTTATTTGCCCAGTGAAAAAGAATAAACTTCCTCCTAAGTATCAGAGGTTAGAAAGAAATTCACTGTTTTGGGAAGACCTGTTTTTAAGCTATTCCTATGACATAGGGCTTGCCTCCTCCACTTATAAGTATCTGAATCTGGTGATTTCTGGAGACAATTTGAGAAGAATATGAAGACTACAAGTCTGAGCCAAATCTAGTCTCTGGGCCTACCCTTGAAACTTTGAAGCTGTATCGTTTATTGAAAAAGGAAAGGTGATTGCTCAAGAAACTACTTGGACATGCTTTTTACTGTCTGATGCAAATTCCCCACCCTGTGAAGTGAAAGCGACTCATGATGTTTGACTCCAGGGTCATCACATCAGTACATAGGAGACACATAATCATTCCATTTGCGCTGGTGTTTGAGTCAGCACCACTGATGTGTCAAGGAAAGGGGCATGTTGCAGGGAGATGGGCTTGGTGGCATCACCTTGGGCTTCACCTTCTAGCACAAGCAGAGTGTTTCACCAGCAAGTTTCTGTCAGTAAGGGAACTGGGGTCACCATTTGAGGCAAGTGAGACAGAGGCCTTGGCAAAGATTGGATGCCCCTGTGGGTTGTTGTGTTAGTTGTTAAAATGGTGGCACAGGTTCTCAGTTCTTAGCATTAAGAAGTAGTTACAAGTAGTTTGTAACTACTTCTCAATGCTAAAATTATATTTGTAGAATACAGCACAAGAAGAAACTTGATGTCCAGTGTCTCATCATTGGGGAGGGGGGCTTGAATGAGCAGTACAGAGATGGGATCCAAGGCCAGTAGGACAGAGCACTAGGAATCATGCATAAGCCAGCCTTCTGTCTGTCTGTCTCTCTCCCCACTCCAAAATGAATGTCAGGGCCACACAGCATACAAACAGAAGTGCCGGATTGGTGCTGTGGGTGGCAAATCAACTTTATATAAAACTAATACATTATCTTCAGAGCAAGGATTAAGTCTTGCACATCAGATACTCAGAGCAAGAGGAAATCTGCCTCCCTCCCTCTCCTTACTTTTGGGTGTCACATATCAGAGTTTGTGGCAGCTTGTCTATAAATATGTAAGACATAGTCTTTGCCCTAAAAATGATAATATTTTACTAAAATATTACATTGTTTTAAACGTAGTTTGGGGATAGTCTAGACTGTTTAGTGCTTATGAAGCAAGAGAACTGAAGGCATCAGCCATGGATTAGAGACATTTGTAGCAAAATGTGTACTGTGAGATAAAGAAAAGACTCTTGCAGGTCATCTAAACATGTAGCAAGATTCCAGACTGGAATATGGATACAGATATCTGGCTGCCATTGCTTTTGAAGAATATCTTAATGCTTAATCCATTTCTTAAGAATACTCTCATTAATGTTAATAATCTTTCAGAAATAAGCCTGAGAGCTTTTTGTTACTGTTGAGGATAAATCCTAATCCTCCCAGCATCAAGAGAATAAATAATATAAATATTATATAGATCTTTATATCAGAGAGACTGTTGCTTTTCATTCTACCATTGACAGACTTGGCACTTAAAGGTTCTCTGAGTGATACGACTACTTGTTTCAGAGAATAATGCTGTAAGCATCACATTTTGTTAGATGTTTCATTTACCTTGCCCTTGTGTCTGATCTTGTATAACCACACACACACACACACACACACACACACACACATTACTATCAAAGCCAAACTTAAAAGTAGTCACTTGCCTGGTTGAAGGGTAATAATTGTCTCTAAGCAATATTTTTATTTATTAGGTAGTAAAAAGTTTCACGCTAATAGCATCTCTTAGTTTGCTTACAAGGCTTATCAAAAGAAAATCAGCTGGTACAGATAAAGCAAAATGTTTCTTGTTTAAAGTCTTTTTGCATATTGGTAGGTTCCATTTGTGCAAAGCAGGTGTCAAGGCCCAGCAGGTCTATTTTTGCATACTGCATCAGGATTAGCATTCGACAGTTATGGGAATGGTGTTCCACAAGCAGCGAGGACTTTGTGAATTAATGCCCCAAGAGGCTTATCACGGAAACCTCAATATAGTGGTTGTGCTGCCAAATTATTTGTGTTTTGCAGCCTAGTTAACTCACAAAATAGCTATTGTTAGTTATGAGAGGAAAATAGACTTGCAATCCTTCATGAGTTGCCTCAGATTAAACTTTGTGAAGTACAATTGTCGAGATATGCTTTCAGATTTTTTTTAGCAGAGTGGACAAACAAGGCTGGCAGTTCTGACATGTTGGAATCAGAACTGTCTGGATGTGGTATTCGTCCATTGTGAATCTCTGTATAGGGGGATCCACTGGTACTTTGGATTGTGAACGAGATACAATGTTCAAAAACCTAGGGGGTGTCCTGGTTTGGACATTGCCTTCTGTACACAATACAGGGAGTGGAGGAAAGATGAGGGGAAAATGTGTCAGCCTGAGGATAGCCTGATAGAATCATAGAACTGTAGAGCTGGAAGGGATCACAAGGGTCATCTAGTGTAACCCCCTACAATGTAGGAATCTTTTGCCCAACATAAGGGCTCAAATCCACAACCCTGAGATTAAGAGTCTCATGCTCTACCAGCTGAGCTACCAGAGCAGGGGTGAATAATATCTGGGCAGAGGTTTAGGAGATAGTCATAGTGAGCAACAGAAATGGCTCTAATCATTTGGACCATAGGGACCATCTTGGAGAGCACATTGTAAATTGCTTTGAGGTTACTTTTTAACAGTCAAGTTGTGTATGAATTTTATGAAATAAATTATAAGTAACGGAAAGCTTTCAGCTTTCTGTTTTAGGAAGCGGAGCCTCAGTTCTAAAGTAAAGACTGCAGTAGTACATTTCCACAAATAACACAATGCATCTACCTACTCATTTATTTCTCATTTCATATGCCATATCATGTAGCTAAATAAGCTTGCATCTTTATGAACGTGTTACTGAGACTTCATGTATCATTAAGCCTTATACAGTGGTACCTCGGGTTACAGATGCTTCAGGTTACAGACGCTTCAGGTTACAGACTCCGCTAACCCAGAAATAGTACCTTGGGTTAAGAACTTTGCTTCAGGATGAGAACAGAAATTGTGCTCTAGCGGCACAGCGGCAGTGGGAGGCCCCATTAGCTAAAGTGGTACCTCAGGTTAAGAACAGTTTCAGGTTAAGAACGGACCTCCAGAATGAATTAAGTTCTTAACCTGAGGTATCACTGTATAGCAAACAGTTTAATTCCTGGTGTTAACAAGAGAAAGCTTTCATTGTGGGGCTTTGTTTTGCTAGATATGCAAACATTTCAGAAGGTTTATGCTTTAATTGATTTCATAACAAATATTCTCACTAGTGGCAGAACAGAAAAAACCCACTCTAACTATAGTTTGTCTAACTTGGATGCTTTGTGAACTTGTAAACTGAAATTAATCCTATATTTGCAGGTTTACAGTGTCGATTGGAGCCAGGCCAGAGGAGAACAACTAGTAGTATCTGGGTCGTGGGATCAAACAGCAAAATTGGTATGTTTGTACTTCTGGCTATTTAAATTTTGTATTAATTCAACATGCAGGAAGAGAATCCTCTCTTAACCTGTGCCATTCTGTTGACTCTTTGTTTGAACAGATGCTACCTTGCTCTCTCTGCTGAAATTATACTGGCTTAATAAAAATGAAGATGGTTTAGGTCAAGAATGGGGAATCTTGGAATTCTAACTCTCATAATCCTTGACCATTAACCATGCTGGTGGGAATTGCAGTCCAATAGCAACTGGAGGACCACCCCTGCTTTATTTCTTGCAAATGCCATAGGCAATGAATGAATTCAGCATCTGGAGTCAGCACAGGTTGTGGTTCTCCACATAGCAGAAGACCAATTGTTCAAACCTGTGTGAGAGATTTAAGAAAAAATTGCCACTGACCCACTGGGTTGATGATGAAAATAAATTTGAACATAATATTATGTGAAGCAGAATTCCTGGGAAACGAGCAAAGCTACAGGTGCTGAAGTATTGCTTTTGGACCTACATGTCCTGCAGTAAGAGGTGAATAAGATGAAAACAGAAAAATAGTACTGCCACTAATATAGAAAGGATATTAGGCCTGGTCTGAGCATGCAGTTGAATGAGATAGTAGAATTCTGAAGATTGTTCCCCTTCAGCTGTAGGTGAAGGCGCCATTTTTTAATCCATCTGAAATTGCCTACCTCCAAAAAGTCTATCACTGTTCTATTTCTTCTTGAATACGTTCTGCTAGCATGTTGTCATATGCACCAATTAAAAAAGTTTCACGAATAACAAAACCAGAAGTTTAAAGTTTGCTGTCATAAGTGCTGGAGAGAGATTTTTTGCAACACAAACAAGATAAGATGGTAACGAGATTGCTCTAGGACAATGTAGGAGTATTCAAGCACTCAGGTTGTATAGAATTATTCATGCTGCAGGATGGAAAATAGCTAATTTTCAGATATATAAAGCAAAGCTGCTTCATAGGTGCACATTTCTAACAGATCTCAGATTCACACTCCTACACAGAGAAGTTGTTCTAGTGGAAGATGACACCTTTTTATTTTGTATTATTTTCAGGGACAAACATGACAACAACTAGTTATTTTTTCTTTCATTTTTTTTTGCAATGCCAAAAGAGAGCATTTTTCTGTCTTTGAATTGGCTCTGTTTTTAAAACTATCTGGGGCTATTTAAAAATAACGAAGTTCATCCTGTGCCTGTTTATGCAAACATAAATAATAGTGATTCCAATGACAGTTGCTACCAAGTAAGTGTGCCTATAGTTATACCTTAAGTTTTAAAAAAGTCAAGGGCTGACATGACTGAATTTAAAACGAAAACCTAATAAACATAATAAAAAACAAAGTTCATCTGTGTAGTAATTTTCCTCTTCTCAGTACTACTCAAAAGTAGAAAATGCTGCCCTGTTTATGAACATCTTATAATAGGACAATAATGTATGCTGTAGTGCACATATTTAGCAAAACAGGCCTATGTTTTTAATGTGAGCAAATAAAATTCAGTATATTGCCTTCAGTTATTACACTGCACAAACAGCTGTTTATTTGTTTACATTATATCTAGTGGGATCCTGCAGTGGGACAGTCTTTATGTACTTTTAAAGGCCACGAAGGTGTCATTTACAGCACAATATGGTCTCCGCACATCCCAGGCTGCTTTGCATCTGCCTCAGGTAAATATTTAACTGTGCAGTCATACTCAAAAGCGGAACTCTTACATTATTTTTGATTGCTTTCAAATCCTGTCCAGCAGGTGGTGGTATAAATTTATAGAAGTGGCAGAAGAAATGATAAATGTATAGCTATAATTGAAGTGGAGGTTCAGTAGTTATCTTTTAAATTCACTGACTTGGTCTCTCTACATGGATCAGCAATTGTCTCACTTGAGTGAGCTAGTGGCAATTTTTCACACTGGCATTTCCACCCCACCCCACCCCCCGCTTCTCTTGAAAAGGTTTTTTCCCCCTTGCCTGTTTGTTTGTCTGTATGGCAGTGTAGTGCTTTGCTATACAATCAGGCTTCACATCTTTTACCTGATATTTCTGTGTCCAGGAGATCAAGGCGTTCCCTGAAAAATGCACCTCGGCAAGGCTTTAGGTAGTGTGTTGATTAAATTTTGAAGCCTGTGGTTCATAAGAATCAAAAACCAACCATTGTGTAACTTCAGCTCATGCTTATTTCTTGTGTATCTGGCTGACTTTTTATCAAAATGATTAGTATCTTTTGGGGCAAGCTGAAATCCTCACAATGATTTGAAAAGGGATTTGGGAGTATAATGAAAAGGTTCACTGCAGTAAAGATTTTTAAAAAAAAAATGATTTCCAGAATATTCTTTAGGCTAACACCTTCATACTGTTGCACCAATTTACTTCCTATGGTTTTCTAGGATTATTGTAGTGGTGGCATTAAGACTTAATGTTTGTATCATGCTTTTGAGTGTTCAGAGTGCTTTGTTCACATTACCTTACTGCTGTTTTTGCAACAAATCTTATACACACACACACACACACACACACACACACACACAGTGGTACCTCAGCATATGCTTCAGGTTACCTACGCTTCAGGTTACAGGCTCCGCTAACCCAGAAATAGTGCTTCAGGTTAAGAACTTTGCTTCAGGGTGAGAACAGAAATCGTGCTCTGGTGGCACAGCGGCAGCGGGAGGCCCCATTAGCTAAAGTGGTGCTTCAGGTTAAGAACAGTTTCAGGTTAAGAACAGACCTCTGGAACGAATTAAGTACTTAACCCGAGGTACCACTGTACTGCAAAAGGCGGGGAGGTTGAAGACAAACATGATCAATAGTGGCATCCTATAACCAAAGTTAGTTTGCAAAGTAAGATATCAAACCACAGTTTGATTCTTGGGTTTTTTTTCTCCCCAACTGCATTTTGTTAGTTCTCTGAGTACATAGCATGGAATTGTTGCTTCCAGTAATGATGTCTTGAGGTTACTAATGCATGAATTACTGTGGCCCTGCTGTCCGGGTCTAAGGATGGCTGCAGTTGGCATACCAACCATATCTGGTAAAATGATTTCGTAGCCACTAAGCTACATGAGCTTCCAGTGAGAAAGTTGGATTCAGGAGCACTCCCAAGCTCCAAACCTGTTCTTTCAGAGGGAATGCTATCTTGCCCAGAACAGGCAACCGGTCAATCTCTCGGACATCCACAGTGCCTCCTATTTCCCAGAGTCGAAGCTCAGTTTACCATCCATTCCATCACTGCAGCCAGATAACAGTCCAGATAATGCACAATCTCTTTTGACTCAGATGTTACAGGGAAGTAGAGCTGTGCGTCATCAGCATACTGATGACATTTTGCCCCAAAGCTCTGAATGACCATACCCAGTGGCTTCATATAGATATCAAACAACATTGGGGACAAGATTGCACCTTGCAGTGCACCCGAGTACGAGGACCAGGGAGCCAAAACACAGTTTCCAATGCTACTCTCTGGGCATCACCTTTAAGGTAGGAGTAGAGCCATTGTGAAAGAAGTGATTCCAATACCCATCCCATGGAACCAGCCCAAGAGGATCCCATGGCAAATGTATCAAAAGCTGCTGAGAGATGGAAGAAGCAGTAACAGAGGTGCACTCCTTGCATCCTGCTCTTGATACAGGTCATCCATCAGGGCAACCAAGGCTGATTCAGTTCCCCAACTGTGCCTGAACCCAAAGTGAAATGGATCCAAGTAATTCATATTCTCCAGGAACCCCTGCAACGCCTTTGCCACCACCTTACCCAAGAAAGCAGTATTTGCAAACAGGTGGTAGTTGTAAGCCATAGGACTCACATATTACACATTTTTACCTTTACAGCAATAAACATTAACTAAAAATTAGGATTGTGTTTAAGGAAAGATGTACCCCGTGTGTGTGGGTGTTATTTTTAAAGCTCAGCATGTTGTGGAGCTTCTTTGCCTACTGAAGCAGCATAATTAATCTGTTTGATTAGTAGCAGCATGACCATTTCTCTTCTGTGTACCAAATGGATAGGTCAGCCAGATTTTTCTTTCAAGTGTAATGCCATTTAACACTTCAGAGTGATGCATCTTCCTTTCTGCTCCTGAACCAGAATTATTTGAAACCAAATCTAATTTGTTTCAATTGAAATCAGTAAGAAAAGCTGGCTCTAGCCCTCAGCCACATGCAGCTCCTTCCACTTGTTGCATGCCTAAAGGATGCTTGAACTGCAAGATTTTGTACATTTCTTGCAATTCACTGGCTTCTATTCTTCAGTTAGTTTCCCCACCTACCCACCATTGGTAAGGACAGGCAAGAGTCTTCTGAGCCAAGCTCCTTCAGATGTAAAACAGCAGATAAATAAATGCCCTTTCACTAAACAGTTGTGCTGGACTGAAAATTTTAGACCCAAAATTGGACACATACTGTAGTGAAATGGGCATGTTGAACTGTACCTTCCATTTCTTTTGACAGGTCCTTTAAGGACTATTTAATGAGCCATTTTCTCAATCTTTTTGATTAATGAAACACATTGTAGAAAGAACAAGATCCAGCACATAGAGGTAGAATACGGGCATCTCATTGGCTGTACATCTAAAGATGCCGTCCTTTTCTGACCTTAGTGTTCCAGACTTGCTTTTTCTGCTGCAGCTGCTGCAGCTTTTGCAGGAAAAATATTTTATGCTTTGGCAAGCTACAAACTCCTAGTTTTTGTTATTCTTTATGGTACAGAGGTCGAACCAGGCCAACAAACCAGCTGTGACCATTATGGACCTTGTTTTGAAGAAGATGCCATACTATCACACAGGTCTTAAGAGAAAAATTCCCAGGGACATTTATTGCTGTGCAATAGCAAGAATAGTTCCAAATAATAACGATCATTTTACCTGCTTGTGTTTCCTATCAGTTTTGACTGATTTCTGGGATTAATGGACCAGACCAGAAAGCAATGCAGTTGACTACATTGGGTACTGGAAAAGCACAAAATGTATTCTTCGTTCTCTGGGCTTTCTTTTTAAGAACTGTTCTAGGTCAGAACATTGGGACATCTGGCTAGTTCTGTATTTAGTTATTAGTGTTGACAGTGGCTGGGATCCAAAGAGCCACTTACTCAGTATTGCCCTTACACTGTGACCTTTCCAGTGATACCTTGTTTGATCCGATTGGTTAAGATGAGTGCTGATAAATCATTTTACTAGGAGAAAATGTTAGTCTGTTTTTGTTTGGTTTTGCTGCTTTGGATTTCCACATCAGATGGATTTCAAGATACAATGGTTAAGAGTAATTTATCTGGATAGCTTTAAGAGACGTATGATGGGAAGCCACAAATGATGATTTGCCGTTTATGGATGTGATGTAGAAGCTATTTCGTTCTCTGGATTATCCTGTACTATACAATACAGAAACACATGGCTGCTGTCAAACACTTGGCTTTATTATGTTATTATTATTTAAATATTTATACCAGGGCGGTGGTCTTATATTAAGGCAAAATATGAATTAGCCTTTTGCACATATACATAGCCCCTTCATTCCTTCGTGACATGAGCGATCAAGCGAGGAAGTCTCAAATTAACCATAGTTTCCCATTTTATCTGGACCAGGAAACCATGGTTACCAGCTTTTGATAAAACAGGAAACTATGGCCACTTTGAGATGGCCTGATTAATTAGGGTTATTTAGAGGCTGCATTCATGAACAGGCAAAAGGCTTATTCATATACTGGCTTATTAAGTTGAGAGAGGATTGTCTGAACTGGATTTATATCTTTGGTTGTTTATTCCACATAACCTTACATGCAATCAATGCTGATTGTCCATCTTTCCCCTAACATCCCTTTTTACCATGTTGGTTGATGTAGCGCTTTGAAATGACATTTTCAAGGAATGACAAAATGCAGCCTTCCTCATCCTAGTGACCTCCAGTTGTTTTGGATTACAGCCCCAGTCAGCACAGGCATACTGGCTGGGGCAGATGTGAGCTGTTACCTCCTGGTGCCTTAGACATCAGTTTGGGGAAAACTGACCTACAGGGATGACCAAGATCTTTCACAAACTGTGAACATATAAACAACTTTTTTAGCTTCTTATACCAAAAATATCTATGCATATTGGCTTTCTGGCTTTTGTATATTTTGCTGATTAGTTTAATTGTGTCAAATGGGTTGGCTGGTGCTGCTTCTTAAGACAGGTGGGTTAGTTTGATTGATTATATGTAGTGTTGCCTCTTACATTGTTTCCAGCTCAATAACATTAAAACTGTCTGCCATACCTATGAGATTTTTGTATGGGTTACCGGTCAAGTCACTGCAAGAGATTAACTGCAGAAATCTGTTTCATTTTAAGTTGGCTTGAAATGTCACTTGAGAGGCATTTGTGTTCAGCATCAAAATGGGGAGGGGTCCTTTTTGAATGACACCCACTTACTTCTACACAAGCTGATAACCAAATGACGCATGTGGTGGGTGCCCACAAACAGGAGCGCCCTGCCATTCACAAGTTTTCCCAGCAGTAACTGCACACAGCTGGTCATGTGAATGAACCCTGAGCCACTAGCCTGAAAATGAAACATCCTTTGAAGTCTTTCAAGGCTGCTCTAAGTGAGGAGCTTTGCTTGCTACCACGATAACAAGGATACGAGTTCATGGAAGAGTTCAAAATGACGTTCTTTTCTTAGCTGTGATTCCTGCATTCCAGGGGGTAGACT